CGTCTGTCTGTAATCTCAAAGGACCTGTGTCCATTGAGATATCATGTCTAGTCTGACCTTAGGCGCTCTGTGGACTAATCACATAGTGACACTGTGCACTTCATGTAATCAATGCCTTTACTTTATGATTGTACACACACACACAGACCTACCTAAAATAGCTCAAGAGCTTCCCACGGCCTTTAGAATAATGGTAGAAATCTTTAATACACCCCAAGTCTTTCCATTTACCCACAGCCCAGATCAAGTATTCTGTTACAACCTTCCACAGCTCCCTGTGGGAGCCTACCCTTTAGAGCACTGATTCCATGTTACATATTTGTTCCTTCATGCAGCTGATATGATGTTTAACATCATAAGCAAGCATACCTCCACAGGATGTGAGATCAGATTAGCTAGAGACTCCTTTTTCCATATAGTTTCTAGGTACCTGTTTATGCAGGAAATGTGAGGGTTTACAAAAAATAAATGTAATGGATGAGTTGAATATGCTCAGTTCCTACAACCACAAATATGAAAGACTCCTTTCTATTTTCTCATGGTTTTCTTAGGTTTTTGAAGCTGGAGGAGATCATTTCAAATACCTTTTCTCTAATCACTAGATACTCTGGGTAGATGTCTTTGCGAAGCTGAGGTAGGGAGACAGGAAAAACACTGCTGATAAGGCAGGGTGCCAGGCTCCCACAGCCAGCTCGCCAGATTGGTCTTCCTTATAAGATGATTTTGAATGATTTTTAGTCTGGAAAAAATGTTTGCAAACCAGTTTTTATTTTACAGGTATACAAAATAAGTGCCCTGACAAGTATTTCCAACAAGGAAAATTATTGATATGTTTCATGGAAAAAAATGTTTTTATTTATGAGAATTCCTAGCCTGCTTTTCCTTCTTTCCTCTTTTGCTCCAACCCCCAGTAAAGATTCAACCTGCAGTTCCCATTGTATTGCATTTTCAAAATTATGAATCCTTTCTGAGACTAGACAATATGGTCTCCCATTTGTATTCAAGTTACAGAGTGCTTGCCTAAAGTTACATACATAACTAATTGTAGAACCACAACCCAAACCAGGTCTCTGGTGGAGCAGTTTCCTTTCATTCACAACCAGTGGGATCTGCTGCCCTGCAAAAAGCCAAAGTCCCGTTCTGCAAGCATCTTCTCCATGGTAACTCCCTTTTCGTTGTTAGATAAATTAGGTTTTCCAAAGATGCAATCTAATACCAGTGGATCTGATAAAGACCCATAGAAAAACAGTCTCACGTTTTCCTAGCCATCCTATTTCTTACCTCAGTAGGCATCCTCAAATGAAAATCAAGTGGACTTCCAAATTCTGAATAGAAACTCAGGACCCGGGCAAAGAAGGCACTCCTTGGATTCCTATAGGTCAGGGAGATTTGACTTCATATCCCATTGATGTCACTTACTAGATAGACGATTTCACACAAGTCATTTTCCATCTCTGAGGCTTAGTGTGCTGAGGATGAAAATGTGGACCTTATATGGTTTAATGGAAAGATTAAATGAGGCAAACTCCTGGCATGAAGTGCTCAAGAAATTATCACTCTGTGTTTCCTTTAATTAATAAATTTCTATACCTCATATTACTAGGGCTAAGTCTGATGTGTGTATATGTGTGAGGCCTGATCTGTAAGTTCAGAAAATAATTTTGCTTCCAATATACAGCTAGTCTGTTCATCCTATGTCATTCAGTTAAACAAACATATAATGAGTTTGTCATATTTGCTGGACACAGTGTTAGGTCTGGACCATAACAAATGATAGATATTCAGTTCCTGTTTTCACGGAGCTAATGATTTAAATCATACCTGACAGATGAGACATCCTGTGTTCCTAAAGATCTCTAAGAGAGAAGATCTCCCCACACTGCTGGGAGATCTGCCACACTCAATTCTCAGTTCTCTGAGCAATTTGGGTGTGTTTACAGTTCCTTGACAATCAATGTGTCTCCATTTTCTCTTATGCTAGGCGTCAGAATAAAGAAAGAACAGTTGGTCACCATTTTTCACCTAATAAGCCTTCATTCCCCGAGAGTTATTGAGTTATTCCTCTGTCTTCTCTTTCTAGATTAAATAATTCCAATCCCTTTAACCTTTTCTCGGAGGTCCTATTTGCCAGCCTTCAGTTTAATCATTTTCACTGCTCCCCTCTGGAGTGTCTCCAAGTCTTCTGCATTAAAATACGTTGCTTTTGCTATTGAGTTCACTCTTCGAAGCATCTTATTCTTTCACATAAACCAAGACAAAAGGAAAGCAGCTCCCAAATAAAAGAAACAGGCAGAAGGGTAGATTTCTTATGTAAGGAATTCATGTAGAACACTCACATGCTCAAAGAAAATTAGCATTTACTGCCACCACTATTAAGAAGGACGGGCCAAAACCAAAACAGTTTCTGCATTGTGCTAACCATTCTGTCTGACAATTAACTAAATTACTTTTAAGCAGATCAGACTATTAACAGCAAACTCGAGGCTTGCTCAAGCTATACCTGAAATTTTCAGAAGGGTGCTAATAAAAATCACTGTTAATGAGATAAAACAAGATTTTTTGATTCTGTAAAGTACCTCTCTGACTGCCAACGAAACTGTAGATAAGTCATCATGTTATTCACGGGCAGTGTCTTTGGTCAGTCTTAGCAAAGTGCAAAGAATCTCTCTTTGCATTCTGTCAATCAATACAAATTAATATTGCCTGAGCTGAGTGCAGCACATTCTAAATGACTTCTAAGAGATGATGTATGGAAGCTGATCAAATACATACTGATCAGAGTATGGCACTGACATAGGCAAAAAGGGGAAGATAAGAAAACCAGAAGCCTAGTAAAAATAGCCCCTCAAGACATGCACAATGATTTGTCAGAGTTCTTTTTTTACAATCGACATGAACTTGACCTCTGTGAGCCAGCAAACATTCCTCTACACACACACAGTTAAGATTCTTCTGACAAATTTCCAAATCCTCTCAAGAAGCTGGGAGGACACTTACTGAATAATATTCTGCCTACTTAAGGAACTTCTTTAATTTAAAACCACTGTTTAGATTTCTTTTTAATTCCCCATCTTCAAAAGTTAAAAGTATACCATTGGGGTAAAAAGAATTGGTTGGAAGTAGAGAGGTGGAGAGAGGGAAACGGCTGCCCTCCCTGGGTGATTCCAGGGTAACAGGCGGTAGTTGTCATCCAGTTCGATTTCTGAGTTTGGCTCTGGCCAGGTTTTACCTAGAACTGGCTGCACTGAGAGAGGTCTCTCAGCAACAGCCATGGGAGAACTAGCCATGTTCTGGAAATGCCTCCTTGCCAAGTTCTCTGAAGATTCCCTCAGTTCTGGTAACAGGACACATTCATGATTTGGTGTGACCTTTTCCCAGGAGGGTGTAGCCTTAGAGGCAGTTGAATCTCTCAAACAATGTCTAAGTCCTAAGACTTATGAAACTGATACAGTGATCTTTAAATAATCAACAATTAGGATGGCCAGGGGCTTATAACCACAGCATCATAAGAGGTTCCTGCCTGGGTAAAAGTAGAAGTTCATTCTGTTTAATTGTCAGCCTTGACCTATTCTATCCCTCCTACTTTTACAAGTTCTCCATGTCCAGGCAAGTGTCTAAGGTGTTTGTCTACCAGAGTGAAGGAAAGTCATAGGTACGTGAATACCACTGGGAAGTGCATGCACAGGTGAGGTCTGGGAGTTCTAAAACAATGTGTGGTAAAATCCATAACATATTAAGTAGTTTTATGTCAATAAATAGACCTTGTTACATAATAGTTACCATTTTTATAAAAGCAAGGTTCCAGTTATGGAATAGAACTACAAATTACCCATTTTATTTATTTCATAGTCAATATAGTCTCGTAAACTCCTACCAAGTGGTAAGAGAGTGAAAGTGGGGCACCGATATTGATGTATGGTGCCATGTGACTTTGCAGTGGTTATGGCAAGAGGCCAGTGACGCTGGCTTAATAAATCACTGCTAGACACAACACTGTGTTCCCTCTCTTTATCCTAATATGTACTTCAGAGACATATCAAATTATTTCAAAGAAACAGCAATTTGCAATACCACACTATAATCCACTGCACCCTTGGAAGCAATTTTTATTCCATTTGAGTCTGAAAAATAATATCACCAACATGGAACACTGGCATTTGTACATAGGGAGAGTAAGAAAAAACAAAGGGAAAGTCAGAGAAAGGAAAGGCAAGAAGTGAAAAACTGATACTGGCAAATTTTAAAAACATCCATCTACAGTGAGCAAGTGGAATTTTCAGTAAAGAGTTTCTGAATCTGAAAAAGTAAAATAAAATTCCAGTTGACTTTCAAGAGCCCATCATTTGGGTCATTCTTTAAAAAAAAATAGATAGCCAACAGATTAAAGGAGCTCCGTTTATAAAAATCAGATGAACCTCTAACAAAGCTTGTTTGGGACATGAATAAATCATCTGGACATGAATTATTCATTATTATCAAGAAACAAGCTGCGGATTCCAGGAACTGGGCTTAGGGAGGTGCAAAAACTGGGGAGTGAGTGAGTTCATCATCCCATACCCACCACGGGAAGCCAGAGAAGAGGTCACGGGCGTACCATCATCTGATGCAGAACTTGCTAGACCCCCACTCGAGTTTCAGAGGACATTTTGGCAGCCTTGATACCCCAAAACATAACAAAGAGAGTATAACTTATAAAACCTTAGTTTAGAAAACTGCATGTACTCAGGAACAGAAAATAATATTTCTGAGCATTGGATCTTTTTTTTCTTTAAATGCATAATATGCACAGGGAATACTGGCTGTGTGCAAAAGATAGTAGGGACTGAAAGATTTTCTTTAAAGGAGATGGCTAGAAAATCCTTTAAGGATAAACTGTTAAGTGTAGTCTGACCTACTGATTCATGGCACGGGGGTTGGGTTTTTAACGGGGGCGGGGTAGGGAAAAGAGAGAGGGAGCCTTTCAGATTCAATCAAATAATCAACGTATGTGTGTGTTCCAGGTCCAAACTGCTTTGCAGGAACTACAATAATTCCGGCTGGCATTGAAGTGAAAGTGGATGAATGTAACATCTGTCACTGTCACAACGGGGACTGGTGGAAGCCGGCTCAGTGTTCAAAACGCGAATGCCAAGGCAAGCAGATTGTGTAGGACAAATTCCCCACCGATGACGAGTTCTTAGGAGAGGATGCTATGGCTTCTACTCTGCACACGTTTAAAACAAAACAGAACAAACAAACAAACTCCTGCCAGCTACAACGGGGTCACCAGCAAAACCTTTTAGGGTTGACAAAAGTGAATATTTTACTAAGAGGAAATTTTTCTCTTTCTCTCTTGCTATATAAAATATATAGAGTATAGAGCTCTCGAAACCGCTTTTGTAATTTCCATGCTTGATGGTGACTTGACGGCTGCATTTCTGGAACAAAAACAAAGATACAGCCTTGTCCAGGCTCCTTCTCCGGTGACACCTCTAGCCTGCCAGCTCACCGTCCGCCGAGTTCATTCATTTTTACTCTCCTGTTCATCACACACGGCATTTTTCTCTTGTAGCATTTCCGTTTTCCCATTTAGAGTCTAAGGGGCCAGATTTGACCACACAGCACAGTTTTGAGTTGTGTCAAACAAGCTTTGGTAAAGAAATGTCAGGGTGAGGACCCTGCCTGACCAGGAGGACCAAAAGCATCCAACGAACCAATCGCTCCCCTCGAGTGACTCATGTTCTCTAGGCTGAGAAAAGAGAAGCGCACACAGACGGACCTGCTGCTGGGCAAGGCAGGGACCTGGTGCTCGGTGCATTGTTTGGGGGCTCCCAATTTCATTCTTACAAACCATACATTTCATCTGCAAAACCTTGAAACTGCCAATCAAAAACTAGTATGTGAAGTACACCATGAACGGGACTAAAGAATCCAAAGGAGACAGGTATTCAAAATTGTAGCATTAATCACCAAACTTTCTCATGACGCTGAATTTGAGTTCAGCTTGTAACTAAACATACTCTAAACCCACTGTCAGCTGGCACTACAAATACCAGAACCAGGGTGAGTAGCCCCACTGTGAATCTGAACCCTTCTGAACACTACTGGCTTTTGAGTTCCGAGTGGGCGGAAAGCCAGTAGGACACACAGGCAGTTTTTATGGTTCAGGACCGTGATTGCCATGTTAAAGTAATGACCGCTCAGCCCTATGTCTAAAACACAGATTCAGGACACTCTTTCCACCTCAAGTGCTGACTTAAATTAAAGATTAGGGTAGAGTGAGTCTTGCACAATACAATTCCATTTGTTGAACATTTTTTAAAATGTATATATTAGATACTGACCAATTAAAGTGAACCTTTGAAGAGTCTCAAGGTTGCCCTGGTAATGCTGCTAGTATAGTAACAGAAAAAAATACAATACACAGGGTATCTGATGCCACCTCGAGTCAAGTGCAAATTTAGCAATTCTGAAACCACATGGCATAGTTAGTTGCTTATTCCGCTTTCCTGTCTTGAAAACCCTGGTGCAGATCTGGTAAGGTCCTTGAGGAAACTTTAAGGTTGTCTGCATTATCATTGTTCTTTCCTTTTCTGCTCCCACCCAACCGGGGCTTTGCCATAACTCCTGTGGAGTGCCACATTCTTGAACAAGGTTTCTCAACCTCAGTGCTATTGACATTTGGGGCCAGATAATTCACTGTTGGGGGACTGTTCTGTGTAATTTTAGGATGTTGAGCAGCATTCTTGACCTCTATTCACTAAATGCCAAGAGCAACACCCTCGTTGTAGCCACAGACTGTCTCCAGGCAGTCCAAATGTCCCTAAGCGGTAGAGAAGTGAACGGAATGTCACCGGGTTGAGAAGCAGTGGTCTAGAATAATCAGTATAGAGTAGTTTCTACCAGCGGACATGTAAAACAAGCTCTGGCTAAGTCTGGGCTTGGGTGAGCCTCTGCACCCTTTGGGACATGCACAATCCATAGCTCCAAGGGGGAGGGCTCAGCGTCCTCCAAAAAGAGTGATGCTTCTGTGCCACGGGTCCACCCTCAGGACACATAGTTCTTGGGTCTCATCAACTGGATTTTAATTTAAAATTGTCAATCTCTCGTCCCCGGAAGCACCTCCTTTCATCAAGAAAGAGTTGTCATCCAAAATTAACGTGTTGACGAGTCGGACCAGACACTGCTCACGCACCCCGTGCTTGTAGTATGATACGAGCAGCCATGCCGGCGCCATCCAAGGAAGAACATCAAGCCGCCTTCCCTTAGAACACCAATTTGCAGTAAGGTTGGTGCCTTTCAGTTGCCACCACGGATACGTCATATAGACAGTCATGAATCATTCATGAACAATTCTGCATGATTTACTCCTGCACTCCAAAGTAAAGGCATTCCATATTTCAGCTTGCGTCTAGACAGAGATATATTACAGAGCTTGCTTTGCCCCGAGGTTGTCTGCTTCCAGCTTCAAAAAGCCACACTCTTGGAAAGAAATAATAAAAATAAAAAAATGACAGGAATAAGGTTTGAAATGCAGAAAGCATCATTAATGGAGCCACGTAGCATAGTACCCTATGTATTATTAAGGCGTTACTATGTCCTTTTTAGAAAACAGAAAGAGAATGCCACAGGGAAGCCAGAGTGCAGAAATTCTGCATCGGAGTCTTGGCACTCTGATGGTCGTGGTAAGAATCACCTATGAGAATGAAGTATAATATCCACCAGGAGACTCTCTTCAGAGAGTCTGCAGAGTGAAGGCTGATTGGTGGCCTCTGTGACCAGCCAGAGAAAGGGATTTTCTTTTTTTTATCATTGTTGTTCGATTTTGTTTTTTTTTCCTCCCTCTTAGTTTCACTGTAAGCTGTTTCTTTAAGACTTTGTAGCACTGACATTTTTCCCCTTTTAGGGAGAGATGAACCTATACTGTGACAATATCTCATGAACCATAAAAACTGGCAACTTGCTTCTCCTACCCAGGTCATTGAGGAAATCTTTCGAAACTCTGCACAACAGAGCTGTGGTCTCATCTCTTGTTATTTTTTTTTTTTTCCTTTGAAGGCTCTGTCTGCCACCACACTGTCACCTCTATCCTTATATTCCTCCTCCACGCCACCTTTGGTTCTCGGCTTTAACTACAGCTATGCTTAAATAAGGGATCAACAGCCTGTTTGTCAGCTGATGCCTGTTTAGAAAAAAAAAAAAAAAAAAAAACAAGATTCAGTTTCTAAAATCTTTGAAAAATGGTGTGCCTGAAAACTAGTGAGAAAAAAAATTAAAATCTAAACACTAAACTGTAAAAAGGGGGACTCTAGCAACAATATTTGATGTGTAAAGAATATATTATTAAAAAATTATTTTGTTAAATATAAAGTGTGTTAACCAGCGAGCATTGTGCGTGGTATATTTTCCTTCCTGAATTTCTCCCTTCTCCCTACCCTCGTTGTTTAATGACTAATTCTCAGTCACTTCTATCATCTGAATGTACATGTATCATTAGCACGATATTCCATTAGAACTAAGTGTTAGCTTTAGCATTTGCCTGTGTACATTTTCATTTTTCACAATATAAGCCAAGGCTGACTCGAGGGTCAGAATGGAAGCTCAAATAAGCCAGCAGTGAGGATGTGACAGGAAACTGCTTTCCTGGCTTGCATCCATACACAGCACTGATGATAATCTATAATTCCTGAGTGTGTGCTCTGTGGCGGGCCCTGCGCTATGCACTGAACCCATGGGGTCTCGTTCATGCCACACAGCACACCTATAAGGAAGGGACTCTTTCCTGTGACCTCCACTTTGCAGTTGAGGAAAGCAAAACATAAACAGGTTCATTTGTCCAAAGTCACAGGGTAGGAAGTGGCAAAGCGGGAATTTTGTATTATAAAAGTTTCACACACACATAAAAATCAAGAAAAGTGGATAAGGAACCTTCATTTACCCATTGCTCAGATTTAACAGTGTTGGGATTTTGCGTAATGTTTCAATTATTCTTCTTTTCCTTCGAAGATTTTAAATCAAATATCAAACAAACATTATGCAGTTTCTTCCCTATTTCTTACAGAATTCATCTCTTTAAAAAGAATCATCTTTTTAGAAAACCTAAAAAAATTAATAGGAATTCCTTCATAGCATCTACTGTCCAGTCCATGCTCCAATTCCTTCAACTTTCTAAAATATAAGCGGAAGGGGTATTTGCATGACCACCCACAACACCGCATTTGGTTGTACCCGCTCCTACGCCCAAAGCAGGGTTTGAACCTGCCAACTAGCAGCTGTGAATTCTGACAGGCTCCTGGCTTTGCTGTTGGTATTGGAGGGTTTGTGGTGGGATAATTGCTCTTTGTAGAGCTCCACGTTACACTCCCTTCTAGAACCTGAACACGGCAAGCAGCCGGCAAGAAGCTTTCTCCCCGTTGACCTTCAAGGAGCAACAAAGAGCCCAGAGCAGGAACCTTGCAGCCGGCCAGCCCCAGAGAATGTGCTTTTCATGTGCGTGTCAGCTTTCCTTGGGGAGTAACAGCAAACTGTTATTTTTCTTCTCTTTGAGACAAACACATACTGCCTAATACAGAGTAAACCTGAACAATAGTTTAGAAATTGCCATCATCTTCTGCACTATTGGAGGAAAAAAGAATAAGCCAGCCACTAAGGAAACATCAGCGTGGAGTCCCTAAACACATATCCGCACCCCAACTCCACCAACATTTTCTTAAAATGAGATTACACGATTTTCCTTTTCAATTTCCCATGCGTCCAATTCTCTGCTCCCTGTATCCCTTGCAAAGGATTGTTTACAGTTCATTTCTAATTCAAGTTTCATGCGAGAGTACTTCAAAGCATAGGAGAGAAAGCTATGAACTATGATAGCCCTGGACTTGTGGTTACTTGAGGGTTATGTTGGGGCTATTACTCCTTTTGAAGGACAAATGTTGTCTCTGAGCAACCTCACCGATACTTTCTTCCCACATTTGTAAGGGATTTATACCTTGAATCGACATGATAGTCTTATCTGTGAGCCTCAAACTGTACTGGTGTGCCCACTTGGTTCTCCCTGATCCACCATCTGCATCTAGAAGGCATATTGTTCTTTTGACGAACGAGACATAACAAGTGCCATCGTGCCTTTCACAGAGTAAGAGTTAAATGAATTTCTTTGATTTAATTTTAAGG